TTAATTTTTTAAACTCGATTAATTCTTAATAAACAAACTTAAACATTCAAAATTTTGATTTGACTTGACTCATTTGCAACCTTACACACAAGTGTTTTTCCTCTGTTCCAGGACCAGTTCCACCTCAAGGTCCAACACTGGTTGTGCTCATCACTAGTTTTAGGGTACCATATCATTATTTGAAAAAACATTTGTTTGAAATTTGTTATGTTTCATATAATAAAAAATGAAAGTCGGCAAAAAAAACGTTCTTCAAAGTCGATTTTTTTATCTTAAAAGATAAATTAATTTAAGTTTAATTTTTTTTCAAGTTCCAAGTCGGCTCGTTTATGTAATTAAGCAAGCTCAAGTTTAATTTTTTAAACTCGATTAATTCTTAATAAACAAACTTAAACATTCAAAATTTTGATTTGACTTGACTCATTTGCAACCCTACACACATTTGTTTGAAATTTGTTATGTTTCATATAATAAAAAATGAAAGTCGGCAAAAAAAAGGTTCTTCAAAGTCGATAAAAAATATTTTTTATGGTCAAAACAAGTTTATTAGGATGAAAAATATTTTTAGACTAAAATCTTAACAATGCCATCATATTATTACCATTACTTCACTACCACCCCCACCAATTCCACCTCGACCTTACTACTCTCACTGTCATGTCATTGCTACCGCCACCGTCACCGCACCACTGTTAATTCAACTGTTAATACAAAAATTTCAAAAGCAACTAATTATAAAATGTTATCCAAAAAAACATTTCTAAGAAGAGTTTTCAGTTAAAAATATTTCCCCCTAAAAAAAACAAAATGGTTGGTAGTAAAATCACATTTTCTGTGACGAGTAGATTCTACTTTTTTTTTGTTTGGGTCAAAACACCAAAAATCCCCTCGTTCTGCGAGAAACTGATGAATTTTCTCTAAATTCTCTAATGAATCCAAAAAACATTTTTCCCCCTCCAATTTTACTTATTACCAATCAACGGCTGAATTTTCTCCTCATCTGGATCTAAATGAATGTCATTGATTAGGACTATATTAGGCATCATAGAAAAATCTTTCCAATGAGGTCAAATGTTTGACATTCTGAAAATTGTAACCCAGTCAGATTCGTGTTGCTAGGTTTCATACAGATCAAGCCCGCCTTTTAATTTCAGTCCCGCTAGGTAATTCGAATCTTCTGAAACTTGAATGGCTCAAGGTGTCAGAATGATATCATTTTGGCACCTTCTTTTTTTTTCTTCCCTGTTCTTCCTCCCCTGTCTGTATCTGATCTTCCTCAGTTTTTTTTTTTCTTTTCTTTTCTTCTCCCACATAATTAAAAAAAAGAAAGAGAAGAGGAAGGGTACAAATCAAAACCAATACAAATTAACATTTTTTTTCTTCTTCCTCTGCCTGTATTTATTCTTCCTCAGTTTTTTTTTTTTTTTTTTTTTCACATAATCAATAAAAGAGAGGAGAGGAAAAATAAAAATAAAAAATCAAACCCAATACAAATCAACCCAAAAATCCCACAAATCAAACTCAAAAATCAAACCCACAAATGAGAGAGACGTATACACAGAACACAGAGAGAGAGAGATACAGATCAATAGATCTGTGCGTAGAGGATGGCCGATGATGGCGCTTCTCTCTTCCTTTCAAACCCACAAATGAGAGAGAGAGATACACAGAACACACACACACACACAGAGATACATATCAATAGATCTGTGCGCAGAGGATGGCCAATGATGGCGCTTCTCTCTTCCTTTCTCTTCTCTCTCTCTTTTTTCGTCCCTCTATTTCACAGAAAAAACAGAGGAGAAAAAGAAAAAAAAATCAAAACGACGCCTTTTTAAATTCAGGCCAATCGAGCCTCAACATTTTCGAGCTCTGAAGCATTTTTGTTTTAATTTTGAAAGTTCCAATTTGAGACCCAAAAAAAAAGAAAAGAAAAGGGGAGCTTCTATATACACACACCCTTTCCTCTCTATACAAATCCTTCTCAATACACACACTAAAAAAATAAATCCTAATATATTTGACTCACTACACACACCTATCATTCCACATATACCCCCAAATGTAAATCATACACACACACACTCCCTCTCACACGCACACCCGTCTGTCACCCCTCACACACACACACCCATCTGAGAACCCCTCTCACACACACACCCATCTTTCACACTCTCCACCGTTCCTTCCCAAAAGCTTCATCCATCCATCTGTGTCATTGAAGTATTGGCATTGAATGGCATTGAAGAGCATTGAAATCTTCACATTTTAGGTTAGTTTACACAGATTAGAATCTTCTCATTCCTATTTTATTTGTAATGTAGGGTTAATTTTTACAATTTTCCGTCCACCATTGTAAGTGATTGCCGTGTTTCCTCATTCGGAACTGGTTATTCGAATTTTTTGTTTTTGTTCGGCAATCTAGTTTCGAAAACAAAAATAATATTCGGCATTAGAGTTCCGAATTTTCTGCTTCTATTCGGCACTATAGTTCCGAAAATATTTACTTGGTTCGGCTTTCAAGTGCCGAAAATAAATTTTTTTTTTTTCAGTTTTCAACTTCCGAATAGTAGCTTTAATTTCGGACAACAACTTCCGAACAGAATAGGTATTTTCGATTGTGAACTTCCGAACAGGTTTTTTTTTTTTTTTCCTTCTTAATTAAAACACTTAATTATAACACTCACTACACACACTCTCATTAATTTTACACACTCTCTCATTATAATTTAAAACACTTATTATTTACACACACTCATTACACACTCTCATTAATTTTACACACACACTCATTACACACACTTAGTATTTTTTGCAGATAATATGGATTCTGAATATCAACAACATGTCCCACCTACTGCTTCAAATAGATGACGTCGTGAATTGGATGTAGACCATGAACGGGAACGAGGGCGTGGGCGAGGACGAGGTCAAGGTCGTGGTCGAGGTCGAGGTCATGATCCAGTTTCGGTAGAATATGATATTCCCAGTGCCAGTCAAAGTGGGGGCCAAAGCCAAAGACGAGTTGAAGGTTATGATATGCCTGACATTGCTATGGAGGATACCTCTTTACCTGATTCTCTTCCTGTCCAGGAAGAGTACCTTACTCATGCTTTTCTAGGTGGACCGACTGATCCGTCAATATTGCAGAGTTTCAATAGTCATGTGGCTGCAGCTATTTGGCACGGGGAGGTAAACATTCATTTGTATATGAGTTTTTTTGTTTTTGTGTGTGTGTTGTATGGTAGTTTGTAATGAGATATCATTTGTGTTGTAGGAACGAGGGCCCTTAAAGTGTCATAATCACTCTTCCAAGATCCTTGCATGGCCATGGTGATCAGTAGAGAACAACACCCGATTCAAAGCCATTATTGAGCAGTCTGGATTGTCACAGTTAGCTCGTTGCACTTATCGGTTCGTCAACAAGCTTCTAATCTCCAGTTTTGTTGAGAGATGGCAACTTGAGACGAACACATTTCACATGACAGTTGGTGAGATGACCTTGACCCTGGATGATGTTGGCACTATTCTTGGCCTTCCCATTGTAGGCAAATCAGTCAGCATACCAGATGTGACAGATCATCATGGAGTTATATTATTCATTTATGGCTTGGGGATTACTGAACATGCAGCACATGAAGAGGTTTCTTCTGCTGGTGGCAATTCAGTCAGGCTTGAATGGTTGCGAAGTCAGTTTGCTGGTGTCACAGATTCAGACCCCGAGGAGGCTATACAGTGCGCTGCAAGAGCTTATTTTACCCTTTATGTACTTTAATGCAAAAACACTTTTACGTTTACAGGTTATTTGGGATCCATACAATAGTTGCAAAGACCGGTATCCATGTAACCCAGTTACGTTCTAGCATGGATGCTTGAAGTGCTTAGACGTGGTCGAACCTTATCATCCAGATAGAGGCTTGTTGATGGATTTGGGATCCATACATACTTATGCCTGGGGTGCTGCTGCATTAGCATTTTTATATAGACAGTTGGGGTTTGCTAGCCGGTCTAGGGTTAAGCAGATGGGTGGTTATATGACTCTTTTGGAGGCGTGGATTTATGAGCACTTCCAAGCATTCCGACCTCATCAGAACATGGGCTACAATGAAGACATGCCACACGTGTACCATTGGGCATCTAGGAGAGAGGCGGGTTCCTCCATTGACCATTTGAAATCTTTTCGAGCCAAGCTTGACAGTTAGTAGCTACTGATGTAAGTTTACTCATCCTGCGATAATTTTAAAACTTCCTTTTATCTTACCCTTTATGTACTTTAATGCAAAAATACTTTACGTTTATAGGTTATTTGAGATCCATACCACAGCTGCAGAGACCGGCATCCATGTAACCCGGTTACGTTCTACCATGGATGCTTAAAATGCTTAGACGTTGTCGAATCCTATAATTCAGATAGAGTTTTGAGGCAATTTGGCAGGGTTCAAACCATCCCAGATTATGAATGACACTAATTAAAGTGCTTCCATTTATCTTACCTTTTATGTACTTTAATGCAAAAACACTTTACGTTTACAGGTTATTTGTCAAACACTTATTTGCTGATTTTCAGAAGGCAAATCCTCCATAACAATGATGTTTTCCCTACGGAAATGCCAAAGCCCTTTGGTTTCACTTCTAGCTCAATGAACTTGGAAGAAGCTATGAATGACACTGGTTCACTGGTTCACAATCCTCAATGGTTCACTGGTTCATTGGTTCTCCTTCCATTTTCAAATAAGCATGCCAAACCAGTGGAACAAGCTACACACACGATGCAACAGATGTGAACTCTGAGGTGTGCATTGAGATGTTTTCAATTAACAATTGTGTCTAAAATAGTAATTTCACTTAGGGATAAAATTATAATAAAATTAAATATCATTAAGTGTGTGTATTGAGGGGATAAGGTGTGTGCATATAGAAGCTCCCAAAAAAAGGCTTGCTGTAGTTTAATATTTTTACCCATATGCCAAAATACAAAATAAACAAAGACTACAAAATAATTTGATTACCAAAAGGAGGCTTCAATTTTTTGGACTGAAGAAATAGGATTACACAGCTACCTCACTAACATGTATAACAGTACCCAAAAGGTCGGTCTGGCCATCTAAACTTCAGATTACAGAAATTTGAAGTCTATTCAATTTTAAGCAGGAAATAAAACAAAAATTACAATCAGTTGAATGGGTGAAAACAACCCCCAAAAAAAGATGATGAGATTTTGACGCAATATTTAGTGTTAAGTAAATCTAATAATAATGGATCACCACGTGAATAATATCATGTTATTTCACTAGTCAAATTGCATTGTGAAGAGAAACAGAAAGATGCAATGCGGCTGAACTCATCAGTTCCGTTGGGTATTTTAAATATTCACAAACCTAAACCCTTAGGATGGCAGGGAGAAGGTCAAGTAAGGGATTTGCCAGCCCATTCTCGCTCTCGTCGCTTCTGCTTTGCCTGCATTCTGTTGAACTTCTCTTTTCCCTTCTCCAAAAGAGGGTCATGCACCACATAATCATTCGGGTCTTCATTGCGCGACATATTATCCTGTGCAAGGATAGAAAGGAGAATTTCACGTATCACGATAAACAAAGGCTGTATCTGGATGATGAGCCAACACTGGATTACCACAATCATGTCATTAATCAAAATTTATCTCATGAAAACGAGTAATAAGGTAAGTATGAGGGATGAATTCTAGGAAATCATATTGTTTCTTCTTACAATTATTTGTTTAATTAAACCCATATCCATAATTACTAACTCAGCAGTAATTTCCATTTGGCTCCCAAACATCCCATATATGGAAGACAAAAAATATTCTAATGAAAATGATATGGGAGATCTGAAGCATACCTTGCCAGGCTGAGGTGTAAACTTTAACTTAACTCCTGTCCAATCAGACAGGTCCTCATTGTTACCACCTTTAACTTTGCTATTAGATTCAACAGGTTCGACAGCAATGGCCTTCTTAAACTTCTCAAGCTTTGCTAGCACCTATTATATAAAATCAGAAGTAAACAATTAAACAAATAAAACAGAATGAGTAGAAAGAAGAAAACCCAAGCCAACCAGCTTAAATAAGTTTAAAAAATTGGAGATATGCATCTTGGATAGTCCCAATTTCCAAATTTCAATACCCCACTCCCTTTCATCTGTTTTCTTTCTTATCCAGTAGTTTGTGGGTAAAATGCATATTCATGCAAAACAGTTTTTTCCCCCCCTTTCATTTCCTCTGTATTTCTTTCTTTATTTCTCCTCTTTTTTTTTCTTTTTTTTTTCCTTCTTTTTCCTTTAAGATTATGATTAGGGACTAAAAATTAATAATATTCTGTTTTACACTCGGAACGTCAATTGTATGCATTTTGGAAGACGTTTTTCCAATGGGAATATAGTGCAGTAGAATTAATATGCAGAAATCCAAATTAGTTCTAATATTATGTGTCAGTACCTTGTTTAGTTAAAGAAGAATGAGCTGGCCATTAGTCTATAAATATGAAAATAAAATGGTATGAAGAACACCAAAAATTATAATAAGTTTCGTAACATACTTCATCTTCATGTCCTTGACGTCTGCGCCTCTTCTGTTTCTGCAACTGTTTTTCTCGTTCAGCTTCCCCCAACAACTGTAAGTCTGCATCAGCTTTAACCATACGTTCAGCCCTGGCTTCTGAGCCAATTCCTTTTTTCTTCAAGTATAGCTTTTCCACTTTTGGTTGGTCATCAAAATTTTCAGCATCAGACCTGCTTAGCACAAAATTGCAATATTCATTCTATGACAATTTTTCACATGCCTCAGTGATATTGCAGGGGTTCTATATGTCAGAAAATAAGACAATAAATGCACATAGAAGAAGACAAGCACACTATCATAAACCAGGTGATAATGTTGTCAAAGCATGATGATTGCTCATCAAACAAGACGTTATCAAAGCAGAAGGGCATATAAATAATCAATAAAGAAACGAACACTAACTCCGACTGGAGGAAGCAATGCTGCTAGAGTCTTAGAAGTTGACAAATTTCAGACGAGTTTTATATGCTAATAGCATAAACAAACTAACTAAATCAGCAATGCACAAAGTAAAACTAGTGCACCATAAACAGCAGAAATGCGAGAAAGAGTTTAATAAATTATCATCATAGAATGAATTAACTTTTCCATAACCAACAAAAATGCAAGAAGACACCAAATACTTTAATAAGTTATCTGCATAGAATGAATAACTTTTTCAATCAATTCAATTAATGTGATATATGTTAAATCTGGGGTATTGAGACAGAAAGAAATCAACTTAACCCCGAGCCTTAGGCCATCTATTATCATCTTGATACTTGTAGGGCACAGAGAGAAACATGACACGCAATATATGCATTCACAAACAAAAACTCAATGCTTCATATTTCAGACCAAAAGTATTTCGATGAACCACATGCATATGGAATATGCATTGCAAATTATTATATATATTTTTCCATATAAAGTAAGCACCCACGAAACATGGTGACGTTCAACCAGAGATCACCTGTACTATCTACATGCTTTCCGTAAATAAACACTTCTTTACTTATTAAAAATAAAATACAAAATTAAACACTTCCTTGTGTGTCATCGGCATTCTGCATAAGGTAGATTATGAACATGTACTAGGTAACAAATCAGAATGACAATGCCACAAAACTCTTTGGAAACAAATAGATCCATGAACAACGGCAAAACATCAAGGAATTCAAACAAACTTCTAGATTTTTATTCTATTTTGGTGACACAAGATAAGAAAGCACCAATGAGAAGTCAAAATTAAGACCTATACCTTGGTGGTGATCTCTCATGCTCCTTTACACTGGAACTCTCTGCAGATGCCAAAAAAATATAAATAAATAAATAAAATATATTAGACAAATAGAAACTCTTATCTAAGGAACCATAAAAGTTAATATTATTCAAAACAGAAGGAATGAAGGATACATGAAACAAATAAAACTGAATATCATCCTTAGTGGATTAGTTTGAAGTTGCTGCTCAATATTAAGCCGTTTCAAGGTCTTAACATTAACAATTCAACTTACCTTGCAAAAAGTATAAGTTGCCTCTCAACATGATGTTTGCGAGTCCCATTGTTTTACAGCATGGATGCATTGAACAAGGGTAAACTACTTTAAAACATGCATGGGTAAAGAAGATGCAAACCACTTTCTTGGACTTGTCATAAATTATTTGGGAGAAAAAAGTGTTATGATAAAGCTCCATAATATAAGAACAGTTTCATTTGCTAAATATGCCGAGAGAAACAGAAAGAATGGATCTGCGAATGATATTTATATATGTACGGACACTTTAAAAAACATTAAGGTTAGTACTAAGCCAGGAAAAAGGAAGCTCAAGTGAAAAGGATGTAATCAATTCAATATCAAGTTAAAGAAACACGAGAGCAACCACGTGTCATCTAGATAACTTTTTGGAATTTGGCTCTTCAAGTAACAAAAATGGTTGTTATTCTAGACTCCACGCAGCAATTTAGCAACTATAGTCGTGTTGAGGTACCGCTGGAAAACAATCAACAACTGTAAGAAATTTTCTCTTACACCAGTACATGTGGAACAGAATATCTTCATCTTGTCCTATTGATATTCTAGTTTACAGGAAGCAAAATCAATGAACTTTTGACGATATGATGCCAATACAAAAAGGTAAAATCTTTGTACTCCATGTGTTTTATTTTTAGCTAATATGGAGGTTTTGTCAATCTTCTCTTTTTCTTTTTTTTCTTTTTTTGTTGATCTTATAGGAGAGCTAAATTTTGTAGAGGGATTGTTGTTCATCTTGTAACATCTTGTGTACACAGGTTGAGCTCTTCCAGCTATCTTCAATTTATTTTATTTACTTATCAAAAAATAATTTTCCAGCTTTGTACAACAGTTCTGACGAAAGACAGAGTTTCAATGTGCGTGTGAGGGAATGCATGGTGTGTCTGAGTGAGGGAGAGAGGGGGGCGAAAGTGGTTCTGTAATCAGCTCAAGAACCCGAGTAATTTCATCTGAAACTCCAAATTTGTGTCATTCTTTATTCAATGCTAGTCATTAAGAAGTTCTACGAAATCGTAGTACCAAATTTGAAAATTACATACTCGAAAACCGCCATAACACCAGCTGTCAACTTGGTTGTATCTCCAGATAACCCTGGAGGGAAGGCGCAGGGTTCAAGTCCGAGTTAGGATGTGGATGTGGATGTGGATGTGGATGTGTGTATGTCTTACTCATCAAAATAAATAAACAAACAAACAAAGAATTTTCTAAATTAACAGAATTAATGAAGTACTGTCTTCAGTGAGCAACAAGACGGAATCTGTTTCAACTATAATATATACCAGGACACAGGGGCGGAGGCAGCATAGGCCGAGGGGGGTCACGTGCCCCCCCCCCCCCTCAGTTTTGCAAATTTTAATTTTTTGTTATTGTCATGTATAAAATTATTCTCTCGTTTTTTTTTTTTCTTAACATGTTCTTTAGCTAATAATTTATTATATTGTTCATAACAAATAATTATTTGATACTTTGGAAACACTATGTGTTATTATTTATGTAGTAGTTTAAATCAATAGTGTAGCGAAAAATATTATAGATTGGATATAATGAACTCATTATTTTCAAGTAGTTGACATACCACTTAATGTGATTTGTGATTTTCTATACTTTGAGCATCACGTAGGTAACGTCATATGGTACTCTAAGACTGTTTAATAATTTTCATTCAAAACACATCATTTATAAGCAATGTCATCTCTTTAATATTTTTCTGTCAAATAAAAATTAAATAGATTTTATAACAATTTGTGCTATAAATGATGTGTTTTTATTTTTTAAAATTAGGAATTTTGATCCATAATTTTTTGTGCTAAAATTACAAACTTACATCATCATCTCACACCGAGCTATTCCAGACTATTATAGAATTTTGATTTGTTTTTATTAATAATGAATATGTAATTTTTTATGTTTAAATTTATCTTATAAAATTATTATTATCTTAATATTGCTCATGAATTTTTTTTAAATAAAAAATTATAATTAATAAGTGCCCCCTCTAACCTAATTTTCTTGCTCCGCCATTGCCAGGACACACCATTCAGATAGGTTTAAGTAGAACGTTAAAGAAAGAAGTTTTACACTAAGAATTAAAAACTGCAATGATATGTACATGAAATTATTCTCATCTCAAGATAGCTTGCAGTGCAAAACCAAAGAAATTCAATCACATAGATATTTAGCATAATTCAAACCATTTGACACTCCTGACATAATAATGTGCCCACAAATGTATGAAACACAAAATTTGCCACTTTTAACCCAGTAAATCTCTTCCTTTTTTTCACCATGATCCCCAAAAACTAATTGAACTATTGAAAAATGCGGTGCTCAACTCCCCTTGCCTCTCATCCTCAAGTTAAACCAAACCATATTTTAGAAAGAGGTATGACGGTCTGCTGCTTCCAATAATGGCAGCATTGATACAAGAAAGAAAGGCTGTTTAAACTTCATCTTAAGTTCAGAAAACGAAAAACGAAATTAAATGAAAAGCAAAAGAAGATGACATGTTTGAGATTGACTTCTCGAAGTCTAATAATGACAACGAACTTACCATTATGAAGCTTTTCCTTAGTTGGGAGATCCCCAAGCTCCTTCCGCCTTTTAAGTATCTGCAGACGCATTCGTGCATCAAAGCTGGCCTCGTCATCATCACTATAATCAAGGGACTCAGGAAATTCAGCTTCTGATTCTTTTCGCAACTCTTCTCTCTTCGAGCTTAAAGTTTCTCTTACACTTAACTGCTCATCCCTTGTTGCTTTGACTTCAGATGAGTTCTGCATTTATAAAAGTAACTTCAGATATGTCACATGTGTCCTATTATCCTATCGATGATTATGCTAAAAATTTATATAGATATAAAAGAAATGTTTGCTCAAATTTGTACTTTCTTTGCTACTTGGCACCTTGAGTTCTTAAATGTTTTTAAAATGACACATCATAAGGTAATTCAAAATTAGCCCACTATTCAACAGGGAACCTCCATAATCACTTACCCATAATGCAATATTCTTAGAAACAAATGTTCCCCACGGCAAGATCCTTTTAGGAAACAGTTTTTTTTTTATTGGCAAATCATGCAAGCCCACTCAAGATGATAGTTGAGCATTGTCGAATTGGAGTTGAGTGGACATTGGAAGATTTTTCCCAGTGAGCGCTCTGAAGAACAGGTGTTGAGCGGGACTTGTAGTCAATTGCAAGCTCAAGCTCAACTGCGAGCCAAGTTCGGGTTTTTCATAGAAACAACTAATTTCTTACAATAACTTATTTTACTTCTTTTTCAAAGTGCAAGGATGAAAACAAGTTATGAGAAGATGTAAAATAGATCGAGTTCTTAGTGCGAGTGCCTAAAGGGGATGTATACATGTAAATGGAGCAACAATTTGCAAAGGCAAAATTTGATCATTATGAATTGAAATCCAGCCCCTCTTGCATAACTCAAAAACACCTAAATCTATCCCACTCAAAGACAACCACAATATGAAATTTTGCATCAAAAATAAAATGACCAACCTAGACTAATTCTACTCTAGCAATATACTTTCGTGTGTCCGGTTCTAACAAATTAAAAAAATTAATAGGAGTATTCGATGAGTGTCATTGTCTTAGTAAAACTCATTAAAGCATATTTAATTGATCAAGTTATTCCAAAAGAACTTTCATTGCTACGTATATGGTGGGTCAGCTTTAACAGAACTACGACACATTTATTTGAAAATTTTCATCCAGTAATTTATCAGTTCATGGTAAAGCATAATAAAATTCTGAATTCTTACCAATTCTTTAGTCGGATTTTCTTCCTTAAGGAGACGAGGATCATTCAATACATCATGACTACTCTTTATTTTTGTCTTTACAGCTGCCAGTTCCTTCTCCTCTTCCTCAGCTTCTTCCCCAAATGAAAGCAAGTTCAGCTTTCTGTATATTGATCATTTGATAAGTTAAGACTTAAGAGTGATAGCATAAAACACTTTAACCATGTACAGAACTGCTTTCCATTCCAAAGATGCAGGAAGAAACTTACTTCACAGCTTTCTTCTTTGAGGCTTTGTTGTCAGCATCAGTTGTGGAAGAGGGCAAAGACCTGGTAGGTGCGGCTCTAGGAACAATATCATCAAAAGGGTTCCATAATACCTAAAGCATAGATTTAAAAAAGAAAACTGAGAAATGAAACTACTTCATTAAGAATACTTATAGCATTGCTGAGTGAAGGAGATTCGCGAAGGTCATTTTAAAGAAGAAACCATAAGAAAAAGACAAAGTAACTACCAAGGTCAATAAAAAGACAAAGTAACTACCAAAAGACAAAGTAACTACCAAGGTAACTACCAAGGTCAATAAATTCTTTTTTGTATCCATGATGGAATACCAACTATCCTACATAAAAAGGTCTTCCATAGTCAAATCTACTTGACATCAACAGTCAATGGATTTCCAAGTACAATCAGGGGGGGGAAACACTCAGATTTAAGACTTAACAAGAAACCTACCTCAACTGAGGTTATCTTTGGCAGAGGATCCAATGGCCGGTCATTCTTGTCAGTTTCAACCTCACCTAACCTAATAAGATTATATATTGAATCCCCAGTCACCTGTAAACACAAGAACCAGTTGCATTAACATTCAAAGATGGGCAATGGATATGTGAAACCAGATATCAAGTCATGCATACCTTTCCAAAAATGGTATGCTTTCGGTCAAGCCAATCACAACGATCCAGGGTTATAAAGAATTGACTTCCATTTGAATGTGGTGGGCCAGCATTTGCACATGCAACAATGCCTCTGTGGTTGAATCTTAGACGTGAGTGGAACTCATCAGCAAACACACTTCCATATATACTTTCGCCACCTGCATTTATTGATAAGCACCAAAGACTGTAACTGAAAGACATTCAGGAATGAAGGATGCAAATGTATCCAAGACTAGAAATCAATAGTGCCTAATAACCTATGAAAAACAAGACTTTCAAATGAAGAGAACAGGCCCCCAGTATTACGCAACATACAAGAAAACTAAATTTATTACAAATCTTATTCATTCACAAAGAGAGAGAGAGAGAGAGAGAGCCAGCAAAAATTACAAATACGCATCTTTATGATATGGATACAATCTAAAAAATAAAAACTCTCAATTTCATATCTCAGATAGTTTTAATATTTTGAAAACGTAATGTGCCAATGGCCCGGTTGCCATGATAAGACCCTAGTTGGAAAAAATAGATCCAAATCCATCCCAATTCAGTATTACATCCTCCGAATAATTAAATATTGAATGCATAGTATAACATGGTACAGATTTATTTCGGGTTGCACTCAACCTGCATATATATATATATATATATTATATAATTGAAAGTGGATACACTGTGAAACTTGATTATTGTAAGTAAAATCTCATAACCAGTGTGGAGCCTTATATGAATATAAGTATTCCTAAACCAGAAAAAATTTGTGAGTTGGTTACTGTACAATGAAAAATGTCCTCTGAAAATACATGATAGAGTCAGTTATGCAGCTTATGCTTCCTCTTAATATTCATGCCAAAACTAAAAGACAGCAATTCTCTGAAGTGCAGCAATAGTTGAATGCAACTGACCTCATTCCCATTTAACCCGACTCATAAAACCAAACTACTAGTCCAATTAAATCATGTAAGAAATCGACAATCCCTTTGTGAAACACATATAATACATGTCACTAACTATGATGAAACCCATCAAAAGACTACGTACATTGAGCATGAACATTCAGAGAACCTAGTGTGCTTTTTCAACTAGAGAGAGATATTAAAATAAAACGCTTCAGAGGCAGGCTATAGAGGAAGGCAAGGTAAAACCACTGTTGATCGAATAGGGAATTGAAAGAAATATTGGGAAAGGATCCGGGGGTTTGTTAAGTCATATATACATACAGCTAATTTGTTACTGCTAATTCCATCAAAAACAATTCAATTAATGATTTAGGCATATCCAATCCTTGACTCAAACCTAAACTACATCAAATTTAAATTTGGGTAAAAATTCCTCAAATGTTTACTCAAATTGAGTTTCACTCAATTTTTTACCCAAATCAAGGAGGCTCAAATGTTTACTCAAATTTTTCTAAAGCTATTGTGTGGCTCTCAAATTTATCATTCTGCCATTACTGAAGGTTTTACACAAATTTATACTTCAATCCATTGAAGTGATTCAAATCAAATAAAGTTTATACTTCAAGTAAAATTATACATGAATATATTATTTTAGAGAGAGAAAGAGATAGGATACCTTCGCCAGTACCAGTGGGGTCACCGCCTTGAACGAGGAAAGATTTGATGATGCGATGGAAGATGGTGTTGTCGTAGTAGCCCTCCATACATAGCTGCACGAAGTTCCTCACGGCTTTTGGTGCCTCTTTAGGCCACAGCTCTATGTCCATCGGTCCATACGTCGTGTTCAATATCACCTTCCCCTTCGTCGGAGGCTCCGACACGTACACCGACGACATTGATTCACCTCTGCTCGATTGATCACTCTCTCGTCAATTGCTGTCTTTGATGACTGAAATATTCAAATTTCGTCGTTTAACTGTTTGTGCTATTGCCTCAACCAACTAAAACCCTCTCTGCATCGTCACACCGCCATTTTTATTGGCCTTCACTGCTTTCTCTCCCTCTCCCTCTCCCTCTCCTAATTGCCTTAACAAATTAAATTTGAAGGGGAAGTCCCCAAAACATCCTCAAGAGCATCTCCAACGGTAATAGGCATTTTACCTATCTAAATATTATTATAAAGTATATATTTTATTTTGTCTATCAACTTTTCATGTTTCTACTCCAATCATGCTCTTTATTTTAGCTATTCATTTAAATACTATTAATTTTATAAAATGCCACATCAGCAACAAAGATGGAGGGAAATGATCCTAATGATTAAATATATTTTGCCTAGTTTTGAAGGCTAGCTACATGTAGCTAGTGAATGTGAGTTGAGCTAAAATGCCTAATCATATGCCTAGTGCATTAGAGTTGAAAAAAATGAGTTATACTACGCATTTTGACTAACAAGCATGATATGCCTAGTGGGTTGGAGATGCTCTAATCTTATACTACGCATTTTGACTAACAAGCATGATATGCCTAGTGGGTTGGAGATGCTCTAATCCAAACATAATTTGACTCTGTTTATAAATATAATAAAAAAAATAGAGAAAATGAGTTAACTTTTTATATTAATTTTTTGTCTAAAATTTATTGTTTTCAAACAATTCTTAAATTCTAAATTTTTAATCTTGTCAATTTAAATTTTAAATTTTTTATTTATTTTTAATTTAAACCATTAATTTATTTTCTTTAACTAAAACTAATTAAAAATTTATATTTTAATTATTAAACACAATATAAATTTACATAAAATGTTTAAAATATTATTATTTTATTGAGTTTAATGATTAAAATATATTTTTCTCGATCGATTTTACTTAATAAAAATAGACATATAATCTAAATCTTAAAAATCAAAAGTTTAAAATTTAAATTGATAAAATAAAAAAACTTGAGATTTATTTTATTATAGAAGTCAAACTATAAGTTTTTATATTTGAGAAAAATTAGTTTAACGTCATTCTCCCATTTTTATTCCATTATTAGAAATAAAACAAATTCATAATATTATTTTATGATATCTAAGATCTCTCAACTCCATATTCATATATCACAGAAAAATTTAACATATCATTTTTCTCTTTCCAAACTCCTCTACTCCACAAAAATAGAGACTCATCTCCACTCTTAACCCCCAAGCATTCAACGATTTCATCTTCATCCTTGCATAGAATCCCAAATATGTTCAAAAAAACTTCCACCGTGAGTTTCTCACTTCACCGAACTCCGCTGACAGTGGCCTTTTCTGCCGATTCCTCCATCGGTGGGCTGTAAACCAAGCGGCGAAGTTCTTGGACTTCTTCTCTATTCCTTTCGGAGATGAGCTGAAATAGAAGCTCAGATCTATAAATCTCACCGTCGATCGTCTCCTACTCAAAGAATTGAGTTCTTCAGTGCCTTAGCAATCAACTCCGTTCGGTTCAATTGATATGACATAGATATCGATGGGAGACGTGAAGAAAATTCTGATGGCTTTGTAGTTGGAGAAGGTGTGATTGGAGCTAAAACATATGGCGATGAACTCGATTTTGCACTCAAAGCTTGAATTCTCACGGATCTGCATTTCTGATCAACATGTTGGAATTCGAATTCAAAACTATAGTGATTCTAATTTTTTTAAATCATTATTTATTATTATGATTATTATTATCTTATTTTATTTTATTTTTTATTTTATTAATTGTGTGGTCATATGAGAATTTAATGTTCTGATTAATTAATTTAATGTGTTATTTAATTAATTTAATGTGGTGTTTAATTATATATAATTAATTTAAATATTCATATATATATATATATATAAAGTATTTTATATATATATATATAATCTTATATTTATATTTATATATGGTGTATTATGTTGTATTTATATAGGATAATAATATAAGTCATTAGGTTATAAGCAATAGTGAGGCTTGTGCCTGCGCGGTGAGAGAGAGAGAGAGAGAGGGGAGGGGGCCGAGAGAGGGATGTTGGGTGTGTTTGGTTTGTGTTTGTAGAGTAGTTTTTGAGATAAAAAATATGAAAATTTGTTTGATTTGTCTTTTTTCAGAAATAGTTTTGGAAATTATTTTGGAGAGAGAGTTTTAAAAAAAAGTGATTGATTTGATGTGTATGAGAGAGAGAGAGAGTGATTTTGGAAAGTAGGTAATCAAACAAAATTTTAATATTTTTTTTTGAAAAATTTGTTTGGTTTAATTACTCTTGAAATTTGTTTGTAGAGAATTTTTCTCAAAACTTTTTTTTGAAAAACAAACCAAACAAACATTTTGTGTTAAAGAGGCTGTTATTAAGAAGAGAGAAGAAAATACATACAAGAGAGAGACGGTGGAAGGTGGAGAAAAAGAAAGAAATGATTAGGGTTTTATTTTGGTGGCTTTATTAATTGTTCAAGTAATTCTTTGATCTTCAAAAAAATATTGTGAGTACAAAACTCACTTCCCTCGATTTATGTTTAATTCGTTATTTTTATTTATTTAATGTTGAATTGATTTTATATTTGCATGTAGATGATTGATTGATTTTAATTATTTTGATTCGTTGTGTATGTAAGCTTTAGGGTTTTTAGATGATTGATTGATCGGTTTTTATTATTTTGGTTAGTTGTGTATATAAGGTTTAGGGTTTTTAGATGATTGATTGATTTTAATTATTTTGATTCGTTGTGTATGTAAGCTTTAGGGTTTTTAGATGATTGATTGATTTTAATTATTTTGATTAGTTGTGTATGCAAGGTGTAGAGTTTTTATATGGATTTATTTTGTGGTTGTAATCATACTCATAGTTATATGAAATTAAAATTAATTAGGAACCCATAAATAAATTCCTTACACTCCACCATGACTCCATGGATTGTTATTTTATTTGAGTGTTGGTGAGAAAGAGTGTATAAAAAGAGTGTATAAAAAAAAGTGAGGATTATGAGATTTATTTGAATGCTTTAAGCTTGGCATTGTTATGTTGGTTCTTATGAGTGAGATGTTTTGTGTATATATATATATATTGTTGCCTCGTTCTCATGAGTAGACGAGTGCTTTGATTTACGCGCGTACGTATATGCTAACCATCCGGAGAGTGCGAGTCAAACTCGAGACGATATTTGCGTGCAAGTTTAACTTCGGACCGGTGTTAGGTATACGGAAGGCACATGAGATATATGTGTAGGCCAGAAGTGGAGGGCCGAAGTGGTCGAGTTAAGGTACAAAAAATTTAATTACGAGTTTATTGTTATAATATGAATTGTATTGATTTGTACATCTTGAAAAATAGTAAACGATCTCAATAAATTATGAAATTTTAGCAGAGGCATATATATGTGATTCTAGACAACTTTTGTGTTTTAGCTTGTTATTAAAAAGATCGATTAGAACTTATAATCGGATGATCTTGGTTATTGTCGGTTTGATTCATTTTAGCAATGAAGATTTTAGAGGCTGTTTTAACCCACGAAACGAGCTCATTTTTATTGCTTTCATGTATACTAAAGTAAAACATTATTCTGCACACTTTTCATGTTTTGAACTTTTTCGAAAAAAATCATCTTATGGCAGTTTTTGTTCATTTTCAGCTTCAGATTTTTCGATTGAATTCCGTCTAGGTTTTCTATCAAGTTTTTCTCTCAACCTGTTCAGTTTTTGTTAAATTCGTTCATAGAATCTTTTAGGAAATTTGATTCTATACAACTTTTGTTCTTTGAGTTTTTGTCAATTTGAATTATTTAAGCATGAAACGGTGCATTTTTATACTTCTTCAGCAAGTTACTTATGATTAAATTATACTAACTTAATTTTTTTACAGGATGGTGGGTCTTACTAACTTTTTTATACAGGGCTGACCCACCATATTTTTATTTCTATTTTGTTTATTTTATAATCAATTTATATTTCGTTGTGTACGGACAATAAACTAAATGCCACCGTATCTCGGGAAACTATTCATTCGTTTCGGTGCAATTGGAACTACTTGTCTTGTCCCGTAATAGGAATTAAATATATTTTTGTTTATGCCTGGTGGATACGCGGGAGTTAAATTTTGTACTCATACCAGTATACCTGTATACTGACTCGTTTTGTCTCTTGGCAACTTGGGTGCGTTCTGTCTGAGCGCAGCCGAGCTTCTTTTGTAGGATTAGTTAGGGCTACGGTGGTGACGTGGAATTACTATAGTGTTGGACTTGTCGTTTGGACCTCTTTTGTTTTCTTGAGCTTAGGGTTGATATTAGTTTATGTATTTATTATTTTTTTAATGACTTTAGTATTGGAGTAATTTGGCATGGTTTGTAATCGTACTTTATTTAAGTTGTTTTGACTGGTTGTTGCTACCTGAATGTTGAGGTATTGGTTAGTTATGAAATTATGGTTGATGGGTTGGTTGACGTTTAGTTTTTTTTTTGTTTCACCTCTAGGATTTGGATGATGAAATATTGATTGGGGTTTAACACAGAGAAATTTAAATTCTTTGTGGCCAAAGCCAGAAAAATTCGTGAACAAAGCTAGAGAAATTTTAGTAACGTTTGGTAGAGTTTTCTAAATATGATTTGAGAATAGGAGTTATATTTTGAGTTTGTGAGTTTTAGAACTATGATTTGAGTATGGAAAATTTGTTTGGTGAATGAGTTTTGAAAAGAGTTTTGGATTGAGTGGAAATTTTTTGATGTGATATATGATATTTGATGCAAAAACTTACAACTCATAACCAAACACACAACTCAAAATTCTATTTAAAACTTATAAAAAAAATTTAAAAATTCTGATTTTTTTTATTATTTAAAATATAAAAAATAACAGGTGCCAATTGTAAATTAAAAAAAAAAGAAAAAAAATTACACTGTACCGGTCAACTGGCTGGATATCCAGGAGGACGATCGGCCAGACGTCCAGGGAGATGACTAGTTAGTCCAAATTTTTCCACATTCGACAGAGTTTTCAAAAGTGGATGTGAAATTAATTTTTGAAAACGGTAACTAAACATCACGCGCAAATTAAGAGGTAGAAATATATTTTGAAAACTCTTCCAAACAGAGCCTTCAATTTTCTCTCAATTTCTCTGGTTTGAACCGAGAGAAAATCTCCTTTCAGTGACTCTCTCTTTCTTCTTGGATAAATATTGCAGCCTATATAATGAAAACTTTAATGATCAATATAATGAACTTGAGACATATGGCCAATGGGAAATTGGGGTTATCAGTTTGGAGGATGGAAGTGTTGGGCCATTAGTCTTTTACCCTAGTTTTGTTGACATTTTTTGGCCTCCTCCAACTTGGCTACTTGCCCCAAATTCATCTTCATACCTGTCTAGAAAGTGTACTTTCAAATAGTCTACTTTTTTTTAGAAGCCCCTTAAAATTTCGATTACAGTCCCTTGTTGTTTAGACCCAGAGAAATTCTTGCAAAAACTAAGAGAAATTCTCTAGAAATTCAGAGAAATTCTTTGCCCTATCAAGAATTTCTCTGGAAAGTCCAAAGAAATTCTCTTGATTGAATATTCTTTTAATCGAATTTGAAGGGCATTAGGCGTTACGAAAATATTAGTCGCCTTTTATATTATAAAATCTTAATGCCAAGGAACCTAAAAACAAAATCCCCTTATATTTATAACTTTTCCTTTTTACTTTATCAGTTAGAATATTTATAAATATCAAAATAATTACATTATATTATACAATCAATTATAGAAAAAAATGCAACACCACCAACCCACAACATCAATACAACAAAGAACAAGGTTAGTGATCTCGGAAAAATTACTAAAAATTTTACATAATTATATAAAAAAAATTGTAATTTTTTAAGAGTCTCTAACACTTTTGTACAATAAACAATCTCATAATGAGAAAGAAAAAACTAAATAAACAACTAAATATAAATCCATAATAGGAAATCAAATAATTAATCTTCATATTCGACAATGAGTGACCCATGAGAATAATCACCAGTAGGACTAGTCAGTTGGTTCCAATAACTCGTATTTTCTCACGAACCTAGCTTAGTACACTCATTTTTTAATTCTACCTATTAAAATTTATGATTCAAATCATATAATTATACTCCATCTTAAAAATTTAAAAATCATATAATTATAAAGATTTGATAACAATATGTATTATTTATTTTTATCGAAGGCAAATGGGTATTTTTATATGTGAACATAATTAGATTCTACAATAATATTTATTTTAGGTTTAAATATAAGAATCACAACAAACAACATTATTTACTTGTTCAAAATTTTATAATAACACCAGTGTGTTTGGTTTCAATTTTTTAAATTCAATTTTTTGAGAATTGAGTTTTTTGTTTTTCATGTTTTTTTGTTTTTATTGAATACTTTTAAAATTTTAAGTAATTTTTTTACTTTTTTATATGTACCTTATTTAGACGTATATAAAAAATAAAATATTTGTAAAAAATATTTAAAAAAATTAATAAATACAAAAAAATATATTGAATTTTCATACTTTTTGTATTTTTGGTATTTAGTAAATTTTTTAAAGATTTTTTTCACAAAAATTATACTTTTTAAGTGTATTTGTGTTAGGTGTGTCTAAAAATTTTAAAAGTTGCTTAAAATATTTTAAAAAATCAGTGAAAAAAAAAAACAAAAAATTAAAATTGTTTAAAAAGTGAATTGGGAAAATCAAAAGCAAGCAAAGTGACGTTTTCTTTTTACGTTTTTGTAAACCTATATTAATGTAATGATTGAGAGCAATTTTGTTGATAAGACAGAAATAGCGTAGCCAAATGTCTAAAAATGAGTGAATGAAGGAGACACAAAATATATACCGTTGAGTTAGTTATGTCTGTTTTTTTTGTCAGGGTTCCAAACAGCAGAGAGAGAGAGAGAGAAAAAGAGAAGAAAAAGAGGAACCTTTGCCCTCCTTCGCTCCCCGGAAACTCTGGAGGGAGGTGGTGGAGGTGGCCAGAGTTGGCAGCGCTAACTCAATTTTGTGTTGGTTTTTGACATGGCTCACCTATACCCTTCAGATTATGATGGCCTCCCTCAACCCACCACCTCCACCGTGGTGGCCATTGATAAAGACAAGAACAGCCCCTACGCCGTTCGCTGGGCAATCGAACATCTATTGACTGCCAATTCAAACCTCATCCTCATTCACGTCACAAGCAGAAGTCCAGGTATATTGAATTGATATCGTACATTTATTGAGCAATGTAATGCATCGAATCAAAACATTCTACAATGTCATACATGATTCATTTCCCTAGTCATGTGTGTGGGTGGGTTGGTTCTCAGCCCCTTTTTTCTTTTATATTTAAAATTGGAGGTTTTGCAGATACTGGCGTGAATGATTCTGCCCCTGATGCAAATGGCGGGATAGCAGACTCTGATCTGCAGCAGATTTTCAATCCTTTTCGTGTGTACTGTGCACGAAAAAGGGTAAGTAATTTCAACAGATGCACGATGAATGAGGATTGTATAGCGAAGATAAACCATCTGGTGTGATTTACATTTTTTTCCCCTCGTATCTTTTTGATGTTTTTGGGAAGTTTAGTTTACACATGTAACCTAAGGGTAATGGTTTAATATTACTGATAATAATGGGCACCGTGGTTTTTGACACTAATATGTCGCACAATCAGGGACTTGGTTTATTTGAGACTACATCATGCGAGATTGTTCATCATAGCTGAGTTATAATTTTGAAGCGAAGTCTCACATTGTCTGATACAAAAAAGTAAAGTTAAATATGTAAGCATGAGCACCCCTCACCTTAATAGCTGGTTTATGGGATTGAGTTTTACTCAAGACTGCTGAGTGAGCACCATCCTGCTTGTGAGGGAGGGTGATGTTAAATATGTAAGTGTGAAGCGAGTCCACCACCTACTCAGTAAGCACCACCCTGCACATGTTAAGTATATAAGAGTCAGGCATCCTTACCTTAACAAATAACTTCAAGAGACTAATACTGTGCAGATTTTAATTAATGTCGAGGGTATTTCAGGTTACCCCAAAGGAGGTTGTCATTGAGGATTCTGATGTTTCTAAAGCACTTTTGAGCTATATCAACAACAATTTCATTGCTAATGTTGTTCTTGGTGCTTCAACAAGGAATGCTCTTGCAAGGTTTCTCCCTATCTGTCTGCCCATCAGACACACACACACACACACACACATGCATGCCCCATTAAATAGTCATCTTGTTGCTCATGCAGGAAGTTTAAAAACTATGATGTGCCGACTCTCTTAAACAAACATTCCCCAGATTTTTGTTCCGTGCATGTAATTGCGAAAGGAAAGGCAGTGTCCATCCGACCAGCATCACGGCCTGCAGCTAATAGTGCAACGCCGCCAAGACTACCATCTCCAAGAGGGTTTCCACTTCAGTTGCCACTGCCACATGAGCTCTCTGAGCTAGAGGATCGAGGCAGGCAAGTCAGAATTAAAAAATATATATATTCATTATTAATTTAGCATAGGAGAGTTTTTAAGATTTGTCATAAGGTCCGACCAAAATGTTGACCACGCTTAATATATTGTATATGGATGTGGTGCAGCTTTTACAATAATTTAATATGTATTGTGATGATCCCTGACATGTTTAACATTTTGTTCTTTATTAAATAATATGCTTTTGTACTTGTGGTGAGAACAGGGCACAATCGTTGAGGGGACTTGAGAGATTGATGAGGACCAAGAACAATTCAGCCAATTTGTCGCTGGACATCGACATTTTAACTAGAGGGCCAAAGAATTCAATTAACCGTAATATGATTGGAGATGATGGTGATTTTCAGGCACCAGGCAATAATGGATCACTTGATATGACTGCCCAAAATTTAGATTTCAACAATATGGCAGAGGTTCGCCAGGATAATGGCCCTCAATCATATTCAGTAAGTGAAAAATAGGATTGAATAAATTTTGTTGTGTGATCATTCAGTTAGCAATGCCACTTAATTAGAAGTAGTCGCATTCATCAAATTATCTGACTTTTGTAAAATTCCTTGATTGGCAGAAAGATATGGAAGCCGAGATGAATAGGCTGAAACTTGAGCTAAAGCAAACCATGGACATGTATAACACAGCTTGCAAAGAAGCAGTCTCAGCCAAAAAGAAGGTAGCAGCACTACTACTACATGACATACTCTATTACAAATATTGTAATTGATCTCCTTGGTTTGGAATTACTTTTTATCATGTTATGTCTACAAAGTTATTCGGACTTACTTCCTCAGAAGACAGTTTAAAGGCTGACAATTTTATAATAGACTGATTGTTGCAGGAAAAAATAATATATAACTTAAGATTATTCTTCTCTTGTTATAATCATGTTGTTTGGAAAGCAAAGGCGTCACTAAACTAAGCCCAAATAGTATTCCATGATTTTTATATTCTATTTATTCTAAAATTCAGTAAAAGGGTGGACACATGTGTGGCAAGAGTTAGTCCATAGTATGATAATAAACATGGGAATAAGGTCACACATACCACCTTCTAAGGCCCCGTTTGATAGTGCGCACATTTAGCTCTTAAGAGCTTTTGCTGCCCGTGAAGTGCTTTAAGATGTGTTTGGTTGCATCTTTATGGCATTTAGACATTTAGAGGTTTGTTGCCTAAGATAGGGGACAAGCAACCATGTAGGCCAGAAGCAGAGTGGTAACGTCCATAGGATGGTAATCAATCACTCTCATCCTGTGTTGCCAACTTATTTTTCTTTAAAATTCTATCAACTACATATATAATTGTATGAAACTACACATGGACGAATTAGGTTACCCCATGAGCAGAATATTACTTGGATTCATCATGCACAAAGTATACAGATAGAACTTAGAAGCACCTCTAAACCTCACAGCCAAACCAAAAATAATAATAAACATTATTATGTTGCTGGTTTGAAAGGAATTACGCACTGTATATGTGCAAGCAATTCAACTTTTGCGGGCGGCGATAGGCCTGTGACAAGAGAAAAGTGGGAAATGCTTTTCCTACATAATCACCATATTTGAAGGGGGGAAAAAAAAAGAATCCTACAAAGTGATAATAAGGGTACATTATAAATCAATGAGAAGTAGTCATCTTCGAATTTTGAAATAAAAGGCATTGCGCTGTTATTTGATTCTAAATACAGGTTCATAGCACGTACGGCATTGGTCAGAAAAAAAAAGAAAAAAAAAGGTTCTTGATAACTTCGAAATTAGCTACAATATTATAATATCAACGTAGTGAGGAAAACGGTGATTTTTTCTAATATTGTTACATTTCTTACTAAATTTTAGGCTAAAGAGCTTCATATGTGGAAGCAAGAAGAAGCTCGAAAGTTCGAGCGAGCCCGGTTTGCAGAAGAGGCAGCTCTTGCCATTGCTGAGAAAGAAAAGGCTAAATCCAGAGCTGCACTTGAAGCAGCCGAAAAGGCACAAAAACTAGCTGAAATGGAAGCACAGAGAAGAAAATATGCAGAGTTGAAAGCCAAGCGTGAGGCGGAAGAGAAGAATCGGGCATTGAATGTTTTATCAAATAATGATGTCCGCTACAGAAAGTACACCATAGAAGAGATAGAGGCGGCTACTGATAAATTTTCAGGGTCATTAAAAATCGGTGAAGGTGGATATGGGCCTGTTTATAAAGGCAAACTTGATCACACTCCAGTTGCCATCAAAGTTCTTAGACCTGACGCCAAACAAGGGAGGAAGCAGTTCCAACAAGAGGTACTATGTTATTGCTGGTTTTTGTCTTCCTTGCATTATGTAATTCTGAGGGGACATGATTTAATGATTAATCAAATAAGGGATCAAATTAGAAATTTGAAACTCTTTCAAGTATGTCATACAGTTTGGTGATTGACAATAGAATGACAAGAAAATAGGCTTTTGGTGCATGTAATTACCTTTGTGCAGAATTTATTCGGTGACACCTTCTTCTTCTTTTTTTTTTAAAAATTTATTACAACTAATTTCAATGGGATGTCCCAATTCCCAAGATGCCCTAGCATACAAGTTGAATTATTGTTACGAAATCTTTTTAATTATGTAAAACTCCCCTCTTATAGAATGTGTTTCCATGATGCAGGTTGAGATCCTCAGCTGCATTAGACATCCAAACATGGTCCTCCTCTTAGGTGCCTGTCCTGAGTATGGATGCTTGGTATATGAATTCATGAACTATGGAAGTTTAGAAGACCGGCTATTTCGGAAAGGAAACAGCCCTCCAATTCCATGGAGAAATAGATTCAAAATAGCAGCTGATATTGCAACCGGACTTCTATTCCTCCACCAGACAAAGCCTGAACCTCTAGTGCACCGTGATCTCAAGCCAGCCAACATCCTCCTAGACAGAAATTTTGTGTGCAAAATAAGTGATGTTGGTCTTGCTCGCCTGGTCCCACCTTCTGTAGCCAACAGTGTTACACAATATCACATGACCTCAGCAGCAGGGACATTCTGTTATATAGATCCTGAGTATCAGCAGACGGGCGAGTTAGGGACTAAATCAGATATATACTCACTTGGGGTATTGTTACTCCAAATTATCACCGCGAGGCCACCAATGGGTCTCACACACCATATTGATAGGGCCATCCAGAAAGGAACGTTTGCAGAGTTGCTTGATCCAACGGTGCCTGATTGGCCTGTTGAAGAGGCTATGCAATTTGCAAAATTGGCACTAAAGTGTTGTGAGCTAAGGAAGAAGGACAGACCGGAACTTGGTTTAACCATAATGCCGGAGCTCGCTCGACTAAGAGATCTCAGAACTAATGGAGGCCAGGTTGGTGATCTTCCTGTTACAGGCACATCAGAATAGATGTGATTTAACAATTTTCTTTTTTTCTTTTGAATTTATTTCTAAATTATAGAGTGCTTGGACATAAGTCATGTAACTTGTTTTTTAATCAAAACTTTATATGGCAGAGTCTGCTTGGATATCACATGAAGATTGAATTAGTCCTGTGTCTTTCATACAAATTTATCTTGTCTTGGCATTAACAGTGTTTATATATCTATTGTATTCTAAATATTTGCTTAGATTAACAGAATTTAGTTTTCCACATGTGGAGTGAAGCCTTATTTCAATTTATACTGGGTCAGTACGGTTATTATTACACATTACACCATCAGTTCGTCTTGAAATGTTTATTAGATAAATATTAATACTGTGTTTGGTTTGGGAATTTGAAGAGAGATTTGGAAAGTAGAGAAAAAGTGTATGAAACTAGGTGAAATGTAAGTATATTTTATTTACATTTCACCTTACTTTCCCTTTCCCTTTCTCTTTCCATTTCCAAATCATTCTTCAAATCCTCTAACCTTCCTGAAATCCTTCAACCAAACACAGCATACAGCATAGATATATTGCTTTTCCACTGGAAGTGCAGCCATTGTTCTCAATTCATTGAAAAGTTTTCCTAAAACCGGGAGGTTTCTGACATAAGCTTTGTTATTCCTTTTCTTTTATTTGTTTACAGTTCCCCCATGATAACTGTTATAATATTGTATCTTTGCTCATTGTCAAATAATTTAGTGAGTAGAAAAAAAAGTCTTCTTTTCTTTTTTCTTTCTTTTTTTGTTGTTGTAATTTCCTTGATGAAAATAACCTTCAATTGAAGAGTACAAACATTTCAAGTGAAATATCAAGAAAAATATAATAAAATCTACCACAGTTGCCATTAAGCGGTATCATCTTATCAAGTCTTGGGTCATGATTCACTCATTTTATGTGTTGAAGAACAATATATTCTTTAAATATCATTTAGTTAGTAACATCAGCAATGCTAGGTATCATGAAAAGTTTTTCATGAAAATGGTCATGAAAGATTTGTGACCTTTGGATTACACTTACAATAAAGCACCACACACTAATCAAGGTAATCTAAGGGTCACAAATTTTTTATGATCCTTTTCATGATAAAATTTTCATGATCTCTAACATTTCTCTAGTAACTTAAAAGTAAGAAAGTCTTAGACATTTGAAAATTACATAGAACGAGTTCTTTTTATCAAATCCAGAGGATCATACGAGAAAAAAAAATTAATTTATAGTTTACTCTCTGCAAACTGTCTGTCTCGCGGGTTGAAAATGGGTATTTTTGAATAATTTGAAATAATTTGAATCATCACTAATTTGCATGGATCGTCCCCTGGGCTTGGCCTGAACTCGGGCTTTGGACGAGTTTGGGCGGGCCTAAACAATTTTTTTAAATTTTTTTCACCAAAATTTTATTATTTTTCATTAAAAATAACACTGGACATCGAGTGGGCCAAGCAAGGCAGGCCTCAGGCTGGGCTTTTGGGCCGGCCTTGAACAGGCTAAGCAAGTTGGGCCCATGGGCCTAGCCAGGCTTCAAAATGATGGCCTTGGCCCAAGGCCTCGGGCTGGGCTTGGGCTCGGGCCTAAATGGGCCTTAACGGGCGGGGCTCACTTCAGGTCGCGGGTGGGCTTCTAGCCGCCTGTGGGCCATGGGCCAAAATTACACCCCTAATCATTGTGTTCTTGATTATATTCTTTACTCTCTTTTTTTTTTAATATCCAAGAAACAAAATACAATTATTTTGATGTGCCAACTTTGGAAGAGGATCACATCAGTTGATGTCGAAGGCTGTCAAAGTTGGAGAATCAATAAACATAGAGAGCTGCTCTAATCTATACTAGACAAGCTTTAGATGAATTTGATATTCAACTTTAGGAACTTTTAGACAAAAAGTTATTTGAAGAAACTAGAAACCCTCACTCTAGTCCAACTTTTATGGTAAGAAACCATGCTAAAATTAAAAGAGAAAAAGTCTGAATGGTAGTCAACTATAAACGGCTAAATGAAAATTTAAAATTTGATAGATATTTTATTCCAAAAAAAGATGTTTTGATTAACTTAACCAAATGATCAAAAATCTTTAGCAAATTTGATTGTAAGAGTGGATTTTGGTAAATTCAATTGACTGAAGAATCAAAAAATTTGACAGCTTTCAGTACACCTAGAGGACATTTACCACTGGAATGTTATGCCTTTTTTGTTAAATATAGCACCACAGGTATTTCAACGGTGGATGGATACAATATTTAAAGATCTTAAAGATTATTGTATAGTTTATATTAATGATATACTTATCTTCTCTAAAATTAAGGAAGAACATAAGAAATATTTAAAATTACTTTGTGAAAAATTTTAAAAACATGGAAGATATTCAAATTATGGACGAAATTTTATAGAGTTTATTAGGCATTTTAAATTATGGACGAAATTTTATAAAAAATCTTTCAAAAATAGAAATTCCCTAGTTAACCAAATTAAGGAAAAATGTTATTTTTTAATGGACAACAAAAGATGTTGCTTTAATTAAACAAATTAAAGAAAATGTTAAAATTTTACTAGATGTTTATCTTCCTAAAACAGGTGATAAATTAATTTTAGAAACAGATACCTCAGAAGCATGCTGAGGATGTGTTCTTAAAGCAATACCAAGTAATTTATGGCGTGATAAAGAAATACCTTTATCAGAAATGAGATTAGACCAAGAAAAAAATTCAATACCTATAAAATTACAAAAAGAATAATTAATTTGTGAATATAATTCTGGAATATTTAAACGAAATGAATAGAAATATACTAATTTTGAAAAAGAATTACTTGCAATAAAATTGGCAATAAAAAGTTTTCATATTTATTTAGCCCCAGAAAATTTTATTGTATGCACTGATAATAAAGCAGTAAGAGATTTCTTGATCAATAAAAAACCTATTGAGCAAGGAAGAAGATTAGCCTGGTATAATAAAATTTCTGAATATACTTTTGAAGTAGAACATCTTAAAGGTACTAACAATTTTCTTGTAGATTTTTTTAGTAGGAATTGTTTCAGAAAATTAAATTACTAAACAAGTTGTTAGACTTATTTATTTTGATGATTTATTTAATTATGTTTTAATTTATTTGAAAGAGAAAAATAGAATCTAAATCCAAAATTTATTTTGATGATTTATTTGAAAGAGAAAAATAGAATCAAAATTTATTATGTCCCATTATTTCTCACCTAAACCTTTATCCTAAATGTTATTAGAATGTATTTAATATTTGATTAAATTAGGAGTTCAAACAGCCCAAAACAAAGGTCCAAACAGCCTAGCACAGCAGCAGGCCAAAAGGTTCAAAAGGTTCAAGTGGAAGATATTCAAATTAGTAATTATGGAAGTACAATGGCTATAAACGGTTATAAAGGTTCAAAAAGGCAAAAAGTTCAAAAGGTTCAAGTGGAAGATATTCAAATTTGTAATGATGGAGTGGAATATATTCAAATTGGTAATGATGGAAGTACAATGGCTATAAATGATTATAAATTCAAATGATTATAACGGCTATAAACGGCTATAAATTCAAATGAATACAACGGCTATAAACGGTTATAATTTTTATTATATATACCAAATCCTCTAACATAAACAAGTTACAACAAAAAACCTAAAAATATTCTTTGATTTATAATCACTCATATCTATTATAAGAAATTATACACTGAGCCTTATAGCTTTAAGCTTATCTTTCCTATGTAAGGTTTATAGAAAAATTAAAGGTTCATTTTATATATCTATTTGTTAGAGATGTTTATTGTAAGCTTTCTTTGAAAGTAAAAATACCATTTCATCTTGTAAAAGTGTCGCAAACACTGTGTTCTTGAAATCTTGAGAGTGATTGTGAATCACCTAAGATTTGCAAGGATTTGGGCTTGTGAAGTCTGTGTAAAATCCGTGCAGGATTGCTCTATTTGTAAAGAGGTTGCTAGCACCCCTGTGAAGCTAGAGATAGTGGAAAATCTCAAGTGAAGTTTGAGGAGTGGACGTAGGTCGAGTTGAAACCGAACCACTATAAATTTGTTTGCCTCTCTCATCCTTATCTCTTTATTTTATTTTAAATTGCCATAACTATATTTCACATTTTTACTGTGCTAAAATCATTAACTGACATAGTTGTTAAGACACTTGTTTTAATTATTTTTATTTCATTAATTATATTTATCTACTGTGCTAATCATAATTTTTATTACGATATTATTAATTTTAATTGTAAAAACCTAATTCACCCCCTCTTAGGTTGTCTTTTGGGTAACACAAGTAATTTTAATTTTTGCAAAAGACCTCTAGACCAAGAGGAAACAATGAACAAAGGTAAACAACCCGCTTAAGGAGATTAGGTGACAATTGCTAAAAAAGTAATTCCCAGACAAAAAAGGGTTTATGTTGTATTCTAAGGAAAACAACATGGAATTTACATAGACTGGAATGAATGCAATAAGTAAGTTTGCGGATTTCCAGGAGTCAGTCATAAATCATATGATAGCATGACCAAAGCTAAAAAAATGTTTTTACAATACACCAGCTATGCCTGTTTATCAAAAGAATTTTGTCAAATGAGAACTAACCCAGTTCTAACTAATATGTAGACATCTAGACCAGATAAATCTGAAATAAAAGATTTTTTCAACCCTGGTATATTCAGGGAAATTTATACAGAACTCAATGGAGTTTGGAAAACTCACATTGTAGACAACAAAGTGAAATTTCGAAAACACATAGGAGTTTTGACCAACAAATTAGCTGAGCAAACAGCTAAATTAAAAGATTTGTAAATTTTTTGTTTCAATATCCTTAAACAAATGAATTAGAATGAAGATTTTAATTTTAAAAAAATAAACAATTTTCTTCAACTATCAGACCTCATATCAAATGAGTTTTCTGATCTAGTTTTTGAACAAATAAAAAGAATTTGTCTTTTTGAAAAAGTAAGAACTTTGCTTCCAAAAGAAATTTTTATGTTAATCAAAAATCGAGTTGAGGATTAGACAAATCTTAGAATGATCTTATGATAAATTAAATTTTAAAGATGGAATTCCCAAAATAACTATCATGACAAATCATGACATGTGGTATTTTGAAGATATAGA